CGAGCGATTACGATGACAGCGAAAAAAAAATGAAAGAAACAAGTGTTTGGCGCTTCGAATGGCGTCGCGAGCGGCGACACACCGGTGGACGCTGAGTGGCGTTTGCCTGCTGCAGTTGGGAAAGGTGCTTGTCACCTCATACGCCCCACCTTCTTCTACGTCTTGCTGGGCCACTGTTGTTCCATTGGCAAAGGTTTCGCTTGCTCAGTTTGGCGGCCATTTCGTCTTCGACCGACGATCGCTTCGTTTTCTTCTGCGACGCTTCTCCGCCACCTCTTTGTTGCCGGTCGATAGCACAGCAGCTAGCCACACCGTCAACAAGTCAGTCAGTGGCGGAGCGTACGCGTGAGCCAGCAAACATCAACGAGCAGCATAGTTCAAGGACAGATAACTTCCTGCTGCTGCTGCCGCCACCGCTGCTGCTACTTCAACCCTTTCGACTAGCTACAGCTAGAAACCGGAGGCAAGCAACGAGCCGGCCTTGTAAGCGGGCGACCGAGCGATGCTGCCGGTCTCTCCGACACGGGCGGTAGTCGCGCCATCAGCGGCTAGAATACGAGCAGCATCCTCAGCCGCAGGCGCTCCGGTGGTGTGGCGCTCAGATGACGCTCTAGTAAAGTCCTCCGCCGGAGCGGAGCTGCGTCGCAGAAATATACAGGTAACAGCGACCCCGTACGAAGCGGCTAGAAGGCAGCAAGCAGCGTGTGGCTAGCAGAAACGCTCTGTCGCTTCTGCGTTATTCAATTCTAGCTAGTTCCAGCTCCACTGGATTGGTTGACCAAAGGAGATCGGTGAGCGTAAATTATTCTAAGCAAGATACGGGATGTCTGCTCGCTCTGTTACATATCGCACTTTGGCGCACACATGCAGCAGACAGACATAGGGTGTCTGTATATATATATAATACTGCAGAGTGTTGAATAAAGACACGTATGCGTAGGATATTTCCACAAGAGTGTGACATCTACTTTGGAGCGTAATGACATAGATTGAGCGAGATCGGTGCAACCGGTAATCGGCTTGCCAGTTTCAAAATCTAACTTTCGACATTTGGAAGGTATCTGTTTTTATCTGTACTTGTATCTAATTCTAACTTCTAATACAGTGACAAAACGTTCGGTAACTTACCCTTTGTTTCTCTCTTCCCGATCGCGTAGTGAAGGCTCATGTAGAGGGACTCGATCTACCTGGTTGTCGTTTGGCTGTCCGGCTTGACTACTTCTATACGTGAATTCAATTCTATACGAAATACGTACCTACACGCACACGGTCGCTATTAAGGAGCCTCAACTAGTGAATCTTTTACGTATATCACCAACTGGCCAACGCTTCATCAACATTAAAGAGAAAAAAAGCTCACCAGTCAACCTGGCCATCTCGTTAATTATCGACGGTGTTTAGTTCATATCGATACTTAATGTGAAGTAATCATAGCTAGACTCAATGTATCCTGTCCTCCTATTTAGCTCAATCTAGTAGCAACAATAATCGACTTGGCGATGCTGTCCGGCAGCCATTGCGAAGTCCGTGTGAACGCTTCACTCGCTGCGTGCTTGCCTCTACCTAACGTTCTTCGATGCACTGACAAGATTCCAATGGTAGTCACTATATTAACTATCAGAATACCAGTATGACAATGACGTACAACGAGATCGTCCTCTCGGCAACGGCGTCAGGCGGCGAAATGGTCCATTGAGCCGTTTGTCAGTCCGCGTTCGCCACTGATTTGTTTGATTTTCTTCTGGGTGTGTGACGAACCTGTGCTACATAGAATGCTAGTGGTGCTGATATTGTCGCTGCTGCTGAAAGGGAGAACGATGATGATGTTTTTCTCTGTCGTCCACGTAACAGTCACAACGGTTCGATGGACGACGTTTTTAGTGGACTGTTCTCCTCTTTGCGCTGCTATTAGAGTCGCTGGGGTCGTGTTTGAGATAGATATCTTCTAGTCTGCTCCACATGGATCCTGTTTCGTACAAAGTGTTACTCTAGATCTCGCTGTGTATCGTTTCCATTCTGTATTATCGCTCAGCGTTCTGCTTGTTGCTGATCACGTTGGTTGATCATCTCTAGTCGCTTGGTCGAGGACGGCGACTGCCCTAACGATACGACGGCGGCAATGGCATCAAAACAACATCGGGACACCGACAGCGCCGCCACGCCGACAAAGCGATCATTACGAGAGACGTGCAGGGAACTATTTTCCGTAACGTCTTGCGATATTGGCCTGCCTCTCGCTTTACGCATCAAGGTCTCTACGCGTCGTTCGTTGCAGCAAACAAAACCTCGAGGCTTTCCGCCGTAGGGCGGAGTAGATTTACGGTTAGAGGATAGGTATTTAGTCAGCAAATGACGAACAGTTGTCCTTCAACAGTAACAAGATAGCGTATGGCGGTAGCATGTTCTGTTAAACTGCATAACTACTCTAGACTGAAGATTTAGCCGATTAGTCAATAACTATATGGTGCTCTTTATACCATGTTTAAAGCAGTTTTTAAATCTGATAATGTCATACATATGTGTATTTTTACTATGGACAGTGATAATAGATAAATAGCCGTTGTTCGACGATACTCCGTTTATTGTGCAAGACTTACCCAGTCGTACAAGCTATTAGAAGTGCTTTGTGGAAGATATAACCCCTCTTCACTTTCTTATTGGACGTATTATCATACGCACGGAGGCGTTATTCGAAGAAAAATACAAACGCTTCGGGTATCGATACCTAGCTTTCCGAATCATTTTGCCTTTCATTAGTCCAGTTGTCTCGGACATCACTCATCCTGTACGGGGAACGCCAAATCTATCTTTGCGACTGATACCAGTTAAGACGTCCGTGACAGATATTACGTATAACATAATGTTTAATGTAGTTGGGTTAACAGAATCTTTTATTCCTCTACAATAGCGGTTTTTATGCACAGACACAATTAGGCTGCGCCTTTTCCTCCTAGGCATAATGTGAGACGTCTGTAGTTTTCCCCACTCGCACCTGTCCAATACCTGACTAAGCCTGTTCTTGCAATCGTTCAGCTCTAACTCCGATCAGGTAGCACAATCACAACAACGACCTGCCGCCACCGAGCAGCCGAACGCTTCGTAGCCTCTAACGTAGGGCGGAAGAGGCCGCTTTAGAAAAAGGTGCACTGACTAAGTTGAATTAAGCCATAGGTAGTTCAAGTCTGTTACGAGCCTGACACTATGTCCACATTGCGGCCGATCGGTCGTTCCGTTATCGGCTTTTTCTTCTTTTCAAAGCAGACATTTTGAACAGGTGGGCCAACTTTGACGTCGAACTTCGGCCCAAATTTACTATTCCTTAACGACCACCAGGAACGACTACTACTGCAGCAGCAACTGCATTCTGATTTCAAGATATATATATATATATATATATAGTAGACAAGTTTTTTTTTTATGAAACAACTTCGGATCGTTGAATAATCAAGCTGGCTTGGTGGGTAACCCTTTAAAGATCGATCGACGTTCTTGCTTTCGATAGTAATTCGGAACACGCATGTTTAATGAAGTCTCTTGCTGCAACAATAGCCTTCCTATAGTTTCATCCGGGCCGTTATGAACAAAGGACCGTGGACTACTCTAAGTATTCGGTCCAAACCTATCGTGATTTTCTATCGAAAACATTAATTTAACTATGCAACCAACGAAAGAATCGGCATTTTTATACTTTATAGCGCTACCCAAGACCCGTTCCTGGTTAGAAACAAGTCAGAGTAGAGAAAAATAGATTTTCTAAGGATGTGTGATTTTAAACCAATCTCTGGGATATATCGTCTACGCGGGTATGGTGCCCACCACGATATGTTTCTCTAATAAAATTCTGTTTTGCATGATATCATATGTTCGTGCCTTACGTCTAATACTTGAGCCGCAAGCCAGCAGTTCAGACGGCTGGCTCCTGCTAGCAGGACGCCTGAACTCGAACCTTGATCAGCACCAATCTTGTGGATTCTGGCAAACTAAAAAGCTTATTTTAGGTAAATGTTTTGGCGGACCTGCATCTATGCGGCTTTAAGGAAGCAGGTTATATTTGACATTTACAATTGAAGAACTGTATTGTACTAGAAGTTAGGAATAGCAAACCGAGAACAAATAAAAAATATTGATTCATAGTATTATTGTACAACACTTATTGTTTCAAGTTGATTTTTTATATGCTTGTTGTATACCTTTGTTGTTAGTGTGTGTCTTTGTGTATAATCTCATTATTGCCGCCTATTGGAATAGACCCTTACTCGTTCGATCTCAATTTCCTTCTTCTGTTTCAATTATTTTGGCTATTCATAGAGATATAATACACTGACACGTAATTACAAGCTTGCGTCTTGTTGGTCTATGCCCGCATCTTTATACTAATCGCATTTGGCAAAAGCTGTTATCATTAGGGCTTTTCGGCCCTATTATTATATTGTTGGCCATTGTCGACCATGGCGGTATCCGGAAATAGCTAGTGAAAGCAATAAGGGGCATGGACTTCTCCCACCGCTGTACATATGTATGTATATATACACACATGTGTGTGTGTACGTGTACTGCACATGTGGAAACGAGTCGGTGTTATTGTCTAGCGATATTCGATGGAGGTCGGTTGCGCGATCGCTTTATGGCGGCACACTGGCAACAACGAGCCGGCTCCGACAAGCTGAACCACGTATATCTTCTTCGCATCTCGTTGCTCATTTGTTATGTGTGTATCTCAGGGGTGTCCTATTCGAAAATCTCACTGGGCCTCACCCTTCTCGCTAGTCGCGACACTGCCATAATCATTTCATATTCTTGTTTCATACTTTATGCATTTCCTTTTGTTGTTATCTCCTTGTCTCTGATTGGCGTTCGCACTTTCGGTAAACAGTCAGATACAGATATACAAGTATCGCTGCGTGCGGACACAGATAGCGAGCTTCTTCGTCGTCTTAAGCAACTCATCACCGGATCCCCCCCCCCCCTCCCTATTCGTTCCTTGTGTCTTTCTTCGCATATTATTATTTATCAACCACATCTATCAAGCACTTCTCTTCCATGCATATGACAAATCTTTTATCCTTTCGTGTTCAGCTCGTGCTTGGCGACGTCCAATCTGCATTTGTGTAGGTCTTGATCCGTATATTACGCAAAAGCACACGGCGCTTTATCTAATGTCGATTCGGTAAGATTAGGGCGAGCTTCGCAGGAAAAGCTATGGAGAAACGCCTTCGACCCGTTCATATGACGACGATCTTTATGTTGATGAACCAGCAGTGACCATAAATTTGCAATGCAAGCAGAAGCTGGCCAGTAGCTGCAGGCTGGTTTCTAGGAAACTTAAACGCGTCCCTCTTCTGAGTGCCTGTTGAACAAGATAAAAAAACTTCACTGGCTAGACGGGCAACCAGCAGTCAAATCCTCAACGTTTGCCGTAATTGCACTAGTAGCTGTGAGCTTAGCCGACAGGAATCAGATATTAGAGGCGAGTCTCCCAAGCTGCTACACAAGCGAAATAGTTTCGTTTTATCTTTCTACACAACCGCCATTTTTGGTTCGCTTGCCCTCGATTTCACTGAAATGACTGCCTAGAGATGCACCTACCGGTATAATGCCCCCTAACAGCATTTGATTCTTGAGCAGAACAGTCGAATTCTGGCCGTAACTGTCCCATACACCGTCATCCATTTGCCAAAACTGCCAACATCGCAATGCAGTGAAGCAGATGGCAAACTAAAGAAAAAGTGATGAAAAGCGTAGAAAAAGCGATCAAGCATAACCCTATCGAAGCGAACAAAAAAAGGCGTAACTAGATTCAACAATTCTTGCATGATTTTGATGGGCATACCTGGTCATTTCTGGTTGTATCTGTGACTTCGATCGAGCTGTAGAGCGAGCATGCGAGGTGCCTTGGTTGAAGTTTTTATGACGAGGCCCTATTTTTTCGATCTTAGAGGAGGACATGTTGCGGTGCGCACAAGTCGATCACGCACATTTTCATAAAAAAAAAAAAAAAAAAAAAGTACATAAAAAAGAAGTTGATTTTTTCATAGCTTTCGTTTGAGTCTAAGTTGTTTTTGTCGGTGGACTATTTATCTGAAGAGATAGAAGATGCAAAAGGTAAGAGTGGGAAGTGCGAAAAGTGTAACAGTATCATTACGTTTTCCCTATGGGTTTGTTCGTAAAGCCTGTGAACCTTGGCACGTTGCTTCTACGTTAGCTATATCAGTTCCTGTTGTTCCGACCTTGTGCTCCTTTCTGCGGCCTCCTTGATGATCAACTGTATTGACGGGAGGAATTAATCGCGGGAATCACACTCGTCCTACGGTCAGGAATACAGGCTAAGGATAGCAAGCGAAGACCGAGTAACAGCCAAAAAGTTTAAGGAAAAAAAAGCGAGACTTTATCCGACTGGATCGTAGAATATGATCACTGGGCGGAAGGATTAAGCTACTTTGTGCTCTGGGTCGAGATCAGCGACATAGCGAAATGAAGCTAAGCGCGCCGCCAATCGTAGTTGTACAACAGTGTGTTTATTTCATTGTCCCTTTTGGTTAGAGCATTGATACTCAATGCTAACACTGTTACGGTTAACTCCGCTATTGCTCCTATATCGCTTGGAGCGCATCTTGATCACATAAGTCGTACTTAATGCATCGTAGAAAGTCAGATCGGTAAACTGCTAACAATGACAGGGAGGATTTTGCTTCATAATCTTGTCCTTCGTTAGTGAAAACCGCTCCAATACGGTTAGGCCAACCAGGCCACAGCATCGTCATATGTCCTCATTTCTTATACGCGTACATACGCACAACAGGAGTATCGAGCTTGTACGGAGGGCGGGAATGATGAGACAGTGGGAAAATTTTCGCTACGCGTTCAAGGTGAAAACGGTTAACTGGAGGCTAAAAATCGTTGCCCTCTATCGGTGTAGCGTCATCAGCATCACTTGTGATCCGCTATCGTAATACCGTTGCGTGTCTGGAACGCGTCCGCGATTTCGTTGTTGGTTAACTAAACGAACAGTTGAATGAATCGCGCCGAAGATATGGCAAAGGCAGAATCGCAAGGAACGCTTCTGCTCTGCTCGAGGCCCAGTGGCTTTGGCTGAGGAGAACAAACGGGTGAAAAATCAAGCAGCCATCGTTGCCTGCTCTGACGAACGCAATAAAGAAACTGAAGATGAAGGGGAAACCGGATGAGCCGGGGCAAACGAAAACAGGTGTTTTATTCGCGTTCGTTGGCGGTATACATACGATTGTCGTCTGGGTTTTCGCTGGCAACGGTTTCGTTGGTGTGACTAGGAAAGGCTCGTTTGTCGAGAAGTGATTGACTGTGGTGACGTGGCTATCGCAGCGTCAGAGTTTTTGTCTCTTTAAAACAAACAAGCAAATCGGTGGCCTCTGATTTCCACAATGTAGTTGCATAGTAGAAACAGAACTCGAATTGTTTTTTTGTCTCGATTCGTCTTCATAGAGCCTGAAGCGATAATAGGATTAAATATAAAATCCTTTTTCTGGGATGGCTATTTTCTACGAAACTATACAAAATACAATTATAGCGTGATCGAGACCCATGCGGATACACACCAAAGTCTCGCTGAGACGAGTAAATACATAATAACAATGTATGTTCGTAATGACGTCCATTTTTTCTCAATTAGTCGTCACCAGATTAGAAGTAAGACCATCTGCTCATTTGAATGCACAGCCAGCTATTTTAATACAGTTACCAATAATACAATAGTTGTAAAGAAGAGGTATGTTTTTGATATTCCTAATTAAGTAGTCATTATGGTTATGACTGAATTGGCAAGGCATCGGGAGCGCGCTGCTATACTTCAATGGTGATTTTAGCAGAATTAGGCTACAGCAAGGACGTGATTGGCCTTGCTCCTTAGTTTTCTTTCCTGTTTCATATGTTGAATGTAACTCTGCCCGTCGTTTCGTTTATTGTTGTACGAATTGCTATTTAAATGCCGCCGTTAGCAGCGAGAGATTCACAGATCATGGCAGAAATCCGATTGATCCGGCTAGATGTTGCCCATCCATGAGTTGTAGCCGTGAGAGCATCTGCCTGACTTTGTTTCTTACACAGAGAGTACTGATGAGCAAGAAACGGCAAGCGAGATGGTTGATCCGCTCTCGGATGAAGTAGATTGGCCTGTTTGGTCCGTCTTAAGTCGCGTATCGATTATGGAGTAGGCTTTCGAATATTATTTTTTAAAACGGTGTGATGTAGCCTTAAGTCAGGGGGAACAGCATGTTTACGGAAATAGAATAAATTGCATCTCTTGTAATTTGTAAGCTTAACGCTCATATGTAATAGATTTGCTTGTTCTAGTTATGGTAAAAAAGCAAAAGTTCGAGTATCGAGACGAAGTGAGTTCTGGGGACCCTCAAAGTTGACATGTTTTTATTATTTATACACAATGCATATATTTACCATAAACAAATTTTATTTGGCTGTAAAATAAAGCCTCGAAGGACTCCAATTGTAACATTATAAAATCACGAAAGCACAGTTTATGATAATAAAATAATGCACAAGACTGTTTCGGCTGTTCTGCATCAGATATTTTACCCTTCGTATGATTTCAGACTCGCGAAAAGTGTTTGGTAGAAGTTAGCAAACAAGTGATAATACTGCTTAACACCGCTACCATCGCGAATACATATTTCATCAACGTAGATACACCCGTTCAATAGAGTGGATTCTATAGAGGCTTACGCGTACAGCCCAGTCGGTTTCGTACCGTCGTCCTCGACGCGGCGTGATTACGTAGTGGCGTCGTTCGCCATCGCCGTGGGTATCTCTGTTCCGCAAACCTATGGCTAACAGCCCACAGGTTCTCTATACTGTCAACTTTCCATTTGACAGCACTCGGTAGCGCTCCAGCAACAGATATCGGGGTCGACATTGAGCTGTCGTTGTCGAAGCAGGTACTAAGACAATCCTTGGCTATGCAGAGAAAGACAGAAATATTGCTTGGAGGGTGGTCATCTGATAAACGAACGACTCGATATGATGACTGGATACGCACAATTGTAGAAATAACGTTAGTATTAGTAACAATAATAGTAGAAATTAGATTTCGTTGGTTCCTGGACCGACATAGGTCCCTGTCGCTTCTGCATCCATGAATTGTCTACTACTTTCTTCGTCTACTTTTGGTGGCGGCTGGGGCGGGTCAAATCCCATAAGCTCTGCGCTCGGTAGCAAGCGTTTTATCTGCATAGAACTGTATGTATCTATGTGTATGCGTTAGACGTCGTAGCGGTGATACTCGGATATGATACGATGATACAACATAGTGGAAATGCGCTATCTGCTTGCGGACTTTGCCGATGTCCACCACTCACCGGCTGGCACCGCCATCTTTGTGCGACTCGACCTACCCTTATCCTGCTTGCTGCTACTATTCCTTTATTTTTTTATACCCTCGAGCGTATACTGCGTAGAAGAAAGGCGTCTAGGTATCGTGCTATCTGCCACTGTCGAAAGCGAATACGTGTAGCTAAGATGAGTTTAAAAGGAAACAATAATAACAACAATTATATTAGGTTCCAGTATGTAGGTAGGTAGGACAACCCTTAAAAAATCGACGATAGTTGATATTTTTACCCGAATTAAAAATTGCTAATCAGTAGGCATAAAAGATATGACTGATTTGAGCCCTTTTCGAGACCGATGCTGGCCGTTGCTGTAGTTGCATACTAATTGTATTACGGACGTAGTCTCAGTGAACAAGATTTAATCGGCGGCTTGAGAGAGCCTATCTCAGCCTCCTCTTGTCTAGCAAGACTGTAGGACATTTTACATATTCTCAAAATAAACGTCCCGTTTTTGTGCAAGAGATGAACGACCGTTATCTTCTCTCAGATATATGATAAAGCAGTCCACCATCATCTGCCGCTAGAGATATGATAAAACTCTCAATAGCTGTATGCCCTCAGAAATACGATAAAGCGTTCAATTGTTATCTGCTCTCAAAGATATGATAAGAGACTCGACCGTTATCTGGAGTATCGTTAAGGTAGCCTGGTCAACGCGAATGATCAAGTAAAAAAAAAAAGTCATCGAGAAAAGAAACTGCTTTGGTTGCTTGTCGTGAATATTTCGCTCGTTGGAAAAAAAACCCGAGTGATGAGCTCGAAAAAACTAGGAACGATAGGCATGAAAAATGTACGACACCGGCCATATTCGACCGCAGACAGTTTTAACACGGTGTGCTAATGGAGAATAGACAACTGGGTTCGCCCAAAACAAATAGGAACAGTTATTCGAGGGCGTATCTAGGTGTTACAATTAACCCAGCTGGTAAATGCTATCGGATGCTTAAAACGTTCTGATCTGAAACTGACTACATAACATTAGTTTTGTTTCCACTACCTCTGGGTTCATGGTTCGAGTCGGCCAGCCTGACTTACCATAACAACGATTCAACATTTCGGGTTCACACCTTAGCCTTGCTACCTGCACTGCAAATCTAACTGAGAAAAAACATCGATCATCTTCAATGCAGCAGCTGAACTAAACCATAATTAGAGATCAGCTAGTGGTGATCACGGTGAAACCAAGCATTGGGGGAGTGGCATGGGTCGTTGCAGATTTCCACAAATTTACCAGATATAATAAGCCCAAGTTAGCAACGCCACCAAAGTCAATCCCTATTTGCTAATGTTTCAATAAACGTGTGGGGCAACACGGGTTATCGTGTATAGACGGTTGGTACTTATCAATCTAAGAGATTTTTAAAATGATTCCCTAAGCCACGTCAGTAATCGGCCACAACGTTTATTCAAGCACCCTACGAGCGATTCGTTGATCGGAGCAACCTCACACAGCTATCACCTCCACACCGTCATCAAACAAATCGTGATAAACAAGTTTGAAAAACCGGGAACAAAACAACGATGCAATTTGGCTAGGAAAGGGTCATTGGTACCAGTCAGAAAGTGCAATACTGGTTACAAGCAAAATCAAGAGACTGACTAGACACAGACATATAGTGAATACTTTCCGCATTAACCACTTGTGACCTTCGTGTTGCTGCTTAACGGAGCCTAACTTTCTATAGTCGTACGATATAGTAGCGGGCCGACGGTATAATCACGTTTCATATAATAAGCGCAAATAAACTATCAACTACAACGAAAGCACAGAGTTTCGATAGCCCTTAATATGGCCTTTTTTTCTTTGATACATATTCTCAGTGAATAAGCGGACGGGTTCGAGTCGTTGCAACCATATTATTGTGTAGGAGAGTGGTCGCTGCTTTTCTAAGAGCTCTTTTATTAGTGTTTTTTTTGCGTAATCAAACGGTGGGTATATTTTATTCCAGAGGTTTTTTTTTTTGTTTGCCTTGGTCTCTGCTAGCTTCTATGCATGTAGCTGATCCTGCTGGAACGGTATTTTCTGTAACAGACAGTGGTTTTTTGCCGTTCGTTTTCTTCAGTGACGCACTTTCTCCAAGATGTGTTGCCATATAATAGACGTGCGATGGGGTCCTCTACCTACATGTACAACATCAAAGCCCATTTGTCTTTTCGTAAGTCAAGTTGTAATCCCCAGCGAATCTCTTGCCCTGGAAGCCGCTAATACTGCTACGCGGTACCAGCTTTTTGGGTAACGGCAATGGTGGTGCTAAGTAGAGCGTTGTACTCGCAAACAGAGTAGGAGAAATGCCAACGACAATCGACAACTTTAGATATCCGTTAGACTCTGTAGAGCGTCCCCAGAAAACGAGACGAGCGGCAAGGACGACCCAGAACGGCGAGGATGACCCAGAGTGGCGAAGACGGCCCAGGGCGGCGAATATACGACGAATAAGAGACAAATACGGGTAGTAATTTAGTAAAAACAAAAACTCTCAACAACACAAACGTCAGTTAGCAAACACTAGCAAATAGTTACCGATAAGGATGGTCCAATCCATAAGCAAGAAGTCAAATCCCTTGATACGATGTAAACTACTATCATATCGCGAAATTCGAGTCCCCGTTCCCCGCTAGTGGGGAAGAACACTGAAGAGCAATACTATTTAGCCAATGACGGCCGGTCAAAATACATTAGCGTATGATGGAATACGCTGACTCGCCATGTTGTGTCACAACGGTCACTCCGTTCGGCCTTGTCGTTTCTCTGTGAAAATGTTATCGACTTCAGCAGATCGACGTACAAATCCAGTTCCAGTAGCGAGATTTCTGTTTCAAGATATTACTAGAGATTGGTAGCGGCGAAGCATGGTTTCCTATTTTCTACTGGCTGCTGCAGCCAGTGGCAACTGATCAGACATCTTAATAGTCTATCCATGTTTCTTAATATAGTCTGTCTTTGTTACCCTATGGCGCCTAGACGCTTACAGTCCCTAATCGTTCTATCTGTCGAATACGCCAGCTCTCGTCTGCTATCGCTACTTCTATTCTATGCTGATGCATATAGAGAACGTAGCTAGCAAGCAGCATCTCTCGTCTACTTGAAAAACTCGAGGCAAAACGATAGGACAAGTAGTATAAACGAGTAACATCACTTTTTCCCCTCT